GGTTCAGGCAATTCTCCTGCCTCAGCCTCCTGAGTAGCTGGGACTACAGGCACGCACCACCATGCCCAGCTAATTTTTTTGTAGTTTTAGCAGAGACGGGGTTTCACCGTGTTGACCAGGATGGTCTCGATCTCTTGACCTCGTGGTCCACCCGCCTCGGCCTCCCAAAGTGCTGGGATTACAGGCTTGAGCCACCGCGCCCGGCCTAAAAAAATACATTTTAAAAAAAGCTGTTTGGACCAAGCAAAATGCCTCCTGGTCAAACTCAGACTCTAGTATGAAATTTTTGCCATAGGGACTGGGGTCAAAGGGGTGGGGATCTGGGATTCAGAGGTCACACAAATGGAAAAGAACTGGCTGAGGGTGGAAGAAGGGGACCAGCCGAGCCAGCATTGGCCCGAGCTCGACCTTAGCACACTCTCCTCCTCTCTGTCCCCACTCTCCCTGCCTGGGTCCAGTCCTCTGCTCATGCCTGCCATGGCCACCTCCATCCCCCACCTGGCCTGGGTGGCATCCTTCCTCCGGTCTGGATCTGACCACCTGTCTCTCCTGCTCTTGCGTCCTTCAGTAGCACCCCATTGCCTCAGCATCAGCCTGGCCAGCGAAACTGTTCCCTGCTGATGCCAGCCTGTGCTCCAGCTTCACAGTCATGCCCTTCCTGAGACCAAGTTTCTTCATCACACATTGCAACCATTTTTTAAATTTTTATTTTACTTTTTTTTTTTTTTTTTTGAGACGGAGTTTCGCTCTTTGTTACCCAGGCTGGAGTGCAATGGCGCGATCTCGGCTCACCGCAAACTCTGCCTCCTGGGTTCAAGCAGTTCTCCTGCCTCAGCCTCCTGGGTAGCTGGGACTACAGGCACGCGCCACCATGCCCAGCTAATTTTTGTATTTTTTTTTTTTAGTAGAGACGGGGTTTCACCATGTTGACCAGGATGGTCTCGATCTCTTGACCTCATGATCCACCCGTCTCGGCCTCCCAAAGTGCTGGGATTATAGGCGTGAGCCACCGCGCCCGGCCTATTTTACTTTTTTAAGACAGATTCTCATCTGTCACCAAGGCTGGAGTGCAGTGATGTAATCTCAGCCTCTGCCTCCTAGGTCCAAATGATTCTTGTGCCTCATCCTCCCAAGCAGCTGGGATTACAGGTGCCTGCCACCACGCCCAGCTAATTTTTGAATTTTTAGTAGTGATGGAATTTCACCATGTTGGCCAGACTGATCTCAAACTCTTGACCTCAGGTGATCCACCCACCTCGGCCTCCCAAAGTGCTGGGATTACAAGTGTGAGCCACCTTGCCCAGCCTGTAACTTTTTAATACCTTCCCTGTGGCAAGCAGTAAATGTTACCCCTAATTTTTTCAACAACCCTGTGAGGTTGCTGTCAGTGACTCCATCTTATTTGTTTTTGTTTTTGAGACAGGGTCTCACGCTGTCACCAGGCTGGAGTGCAGTGGTGCAGTCATAGCTCACTGCAACCTCAACCTTTGGGGCTCACGTGGTCCTCCCATGTCAGCCTCCTGAGTGGCTGGGACCACAAGCATGAGCTACTGTGCCTGGCAGACTCTGGTTTTTTTAATTTTAAATTTATTTTTATTTATTTATTTATTTTTGAGCCGGAGTCTTGCTCTGTTGCAAGGCTGGAGTGCAGTGGCATGATATTGACTCACTACAACCTCCGCCTCCTGGGTTCATGTGATTCTCCTGCCTCAGCTGCCCAAGTAGCTGGGACTACAGGCATGTGTTACCACACCTTGCTGAGACCAGCTCAGTCGTGGAGACCCCAACCCAGGCGGCACTGAAGAGATTAAGAAACAGACACAGGCCAGGTGCGGTGGCTCACATCTGTAATCCCAGCACTTTGGGAGGCTGGGGTGGGTGGATCACGAGGTGAGGAGACCAAGATCACCCTGGCCAACATGATAAAACCCCATCTTTACTGAAAATACAAAAATTAGCTGGATGTGGTGGTGCATGCCTGTAATCCCAGCTACTCGGGAAGCTGAGGCAGGAGAATCGCTTGAACCTGGGAGGCGGAGGTTGCAGTGAGCTGAGATTGTGCCATTACACTCCAGCCTGGTGACAGAGTGAGACTCTATCTCAAAAAAAAAAAAAAAAAAAAAAAAGAAAGAAAGAAACAGACACAAAGATGGAGTGCAAAAGTGGGATCAGAGTGAGACCCCAGGGGGCTGACAGCATTTCCCAGCTGAAAGCCCAGCGCAGACTCTCACAGAGTCTTGCTCTGTTGCCAGGTGCCAGGCTGGAGTGCAGTGGCACGATCTCGGCTCACTGCAACCTCCGCCTCCTGGGTTCAAGCAATTCTCCTGCCTCAGCCTCCCAAGTAGCTGGACCAGAGGTGTGCGCCACCATGCCCAGCTAATTTTTATATTTTGGTAGAAAAGGGGGTTCACCCTGTTGGCCAGGGTGGTCTCGATCTCTTGACCTTGTGATCCGCCTGCCTTGGCTTCCCAAAATGCTGGGATTACAGGCGTGAGCCACCGCGCCCAGCACAAGTGATTATTTTTAATAAGCAGGTGCTCAGTGTTTCTTCATAGAATATAGATAGACTAAACAAGCAGATAGTGCCTGTTCAGCACTAAGACAGAAATAAGCTAGAAAGCACTCTTTGTGAGTCAGCAATGGGGACAAGGTCATGTATCCTGTTTTGGGAACTGGTTTAACTAGTGCATGACTGGTACATATTGTCTACTATTCTAGCAGTTTCCTGCCTGGGGATGGCTCAGTGTTCCTTGCCATCACCTCTCAGCAAACAACATATACTCCATCACAGACATGTCAAGACCTTCTGCCATCAACGCCTGGCTAATTTTTGAATTTTTAGTAGAGATGGGATTTCTCCATGTCGGCCAGGCTGGTCTCGAACTCCTGGCCTCTCAAAGTTCTGGGATTATAGGTGTCAGCCATTGCACCTAGCCCGAACTCCCTTTTAGATAGAGATATGGAGTCTCACACAGGCTAGGTGGCACTCAGAGGTCTATGCTCTTTGGCTGGGGGGTGGCTCCTGTCTGTCTTCGGTCCTGGGCTCTGTGCCTTGGCTCCTACGTGAGCCTAAGCCGGTTGGTCCCCAGTGGCAGGTTGATCACATCCAAGGACAGCAGCTCCTGCAGCTCCTCCCACCTGCCCTCGCAGCTGCAAGGGAGGCTTGGCCTCACCACCCAGGCATGGCCTGCCACGACCTCAGCTTCACACTACCTCCTCTCACCCCTTCAATGAGAGGGACACCAGCTCCAGAGGGGATGTTCTGGCACCAGAATTTGCCAGGGGCTAAGGGGCTGCAGATTGCTGCGAACTGGCCCTACCCTTGACCAGGAGGCCCAAGCCAGGGCTCCTCATGAAGGGTCCTCTCCAGCAAAGCTGACTGGCCTCCTGCCCCTCTGTCTCCTGGCTCCCCTTCCTGGCCCTGCACACTCATTCCTGCAGCCTTGTTGAGGTTTGGGGCTCCCTCCACCCCACGGGAGCCCAGCTCTCCCTAAAGGATCCATGCCATCCTGCGACTTGAGTTTGGGCTGGGAAGACCCAGTGGGGCGTGGTGTTCTGAGTGCGCTCTGTGGGGTCAGGAGATATGGCCGGCCTCCCAAGGCCAGCTCTGCATACCTCTCTCCTGCTTCGGGCTGTTCCTTATGGGGCCCAGCTTGTTAAAGGAGATTATTATAGTGACTGGCAGAGGCTCCCTGGGGAGCCTTGGGGCCAGGCAGGCTGTTCCAAGCTGCAGACAGAATCAATATCATGGCTGGTGAAACTGACTGTGAACCCCTGACTTCCCTCTTGGGGATAAGCGGGGGCAGAGACTGAGTGAGGAAGAAACCATCTGCTCAGGATGGAAGCTGCTGCCTCTGCTGGTGCTGAGCCAGCGGATCCCTGGGGTCCAGGCACCTGAAGAGTGCAGGCTGACTCCCCTGTCCCACCCGGCCCCTTGTGGTCCTAGCCTTTTGCCTTCTTGCACAAGGGCCTGTTCATTTGGCCCTATCTTCCCTCCCCCCATCTCCAGCCCAGGCCTCAGGATTTCTGGCCTCTCTCCTTAGACCCCATCCCCTCAGCCCTCCCTGGTCCTCAGATGTGGAGAGGAGGGAGGCGGTGAGTTGATTCTGGGAGCCCTGGAAGGAAGAGGGCAGTGGGGAGTGTGCCTGAGGGACGGGGCCCCTCCAGGTAGGCCCCATAGCCTTGGGTACCAAGCCCCCAAGCTGTGCCTGGTGTCCCCCTCCTCCTCCCACGGGAGTGGCTTAGGGGCTAAATTATCAGCTGCCTGTGGCCCCCGGTCCCCTGCTATATTCCCAGGGCCCCAGGAGATGAGGGATAGTGGGGCAGGAGGGCTTCTGGGAGAGGCCTGGGTGCTCCTCCCAATGCCACCCTCTAGGAGACAAGACATCCCTGCTGGGGTGGGAGGAGAGGCCTGGAGCAGGGAGCCAGAAGGAAGCAGCGACACTGCAGGGACTCGAACCCTGGCCCAGCAGTGCTGGACGTGCCACCACCAGCGCCTTTTGCTTTTTCCTGCTCACTGTTTCACAGATTGAAAGGTGAAAAGCAAAACCTGAGTGTGGCCATGGGCACACTCAGTAAAAGAAACACCTGCGGCGGCTCCGCGCCTCCCTCCCTCCCAGGCCCACCTCCTGCCTTCCTCACTCCCCTTGCAAAGGCACCACCGCCTGGGACAGTGTCCCCCAGTGGCACAGCCACATGTGCCACATCCCAGTGTGCCACATGTGTATCCTCACTGAGGAGCATCAAGTCACACCAGCAAACCGAACACGAGGCACAGTCCTGCAGGTTCTGGGACAGTGTATGCAGTCACAAGCATCTCTGTGAGTATAGAAATTTCCAGAAGAGGTCTAGGAAACTTGAGAAGACATCCCTGTGTAGCAGGGCAGGATAGGTGAGGGGACAGGAATTTTACTTTCACTTTATACCCACGGCTTGAATTTTTGACTCTATGCAGATCACTTTTATAATTAAAGGCAAAAGTCTTTTCATCAGAACAGGAAATCTAAGACCTGGGGACACTTCCGGCACCCTGGCCTAGTGCAAATGGTTCTCTGGGTCTGCTGGGCCCCAAGCACCTGAGGTCACGCAGATGCCCTGCCTCGCCTTCCGTCCTCTGATCTCTCGGCCATGGTCAGCTGTGGGTTCCTTCCTGGGAACTGTCATGCTGGAAATGAAGTTGGAAGCGCAGTGCCCACCGGCCTCTCTCCTGTCACTGACTAACCTGGAGTACAAGTTCTGGAGAGGACGGGTCCAAGTCACCAGGGCCCCAGGACCCAGAGGTACATGAAGCCCACCTGAACCCTCAGCCGCAGTCAGGACACCCTCAGTATCCGCGGTCCACAGCACCAATGCTCCTGGCCCAGGCTCTGCCTCCCCTGGCCCCACGGCGGGTCCATGGGAACCCCGCATGAGCTCTCTGTCCTCGTCTGAGAGTCCTGTCCTGGTTGCCATGGAGGGAGGGCTCCTGGAGCCCCTGCTGCCAGTGCCAAAGAGCTCAGAAGCCCTCCCCAGCAGGGTCCAGATGAGAAACAGGGGCTCAGAGAGGGCTATAGCCTGCTCAGGACAAACAGGAGGTCAGGCCAGGCTGAGGGCTGGGTGCCTTGTACTCATCCTGATGAATCCGAGCAGAGTCAGCCCTCCACTTCTCCCCCACTTCTCTCTCTCTCTCTTTCTCACACACACACACACACACAGAGGTCTCCCCCACTTTACACACACACATGGTCTCCCCCACGTCACAGGCACACACAGGTCTCACACACACACACACACACACACACACACACACACACACACACACACACACACACACACACACGAGTCTGGGGACTACCAGCTGGGCTCTGAGCCAGGCCTGCAGGCCTCAGACCTCTCAAAAAGGGCGGGGAACCTGCTGGGCCAACTGCCTTCAACCCCTCCCCCACTTCACTCATGCCCCGTCCCCCTCACATGTCCATCTCCCCTCACAGCCCCGCTTCCACTTCAGCCCCCAAATACACGGTGCAGGCACTTACTTACTGCAGCAGCAGAGAGGAAACGGTCACGGCCATCTAAGTCCCAACCTGCCGATGAGGCAACAAAGCTCTGGCCTACAAGGCCTCAGAAATGGGGGCAGTCAAAACCCACTCTGTAAGATGAGCAAAGAATTAATTCAGCGTGTTAGCCATAGGACCCTCGGGTGCATGCCGCGGGGAGAGTGAGCTACGTGGGGAAACGCGGCACTGGCTCCGGGAACCACTGCACTCAGCCAGTGAGCAGAAGTAAAAACAGTGGTGTGGACAGGGCCAAGGGGGAAATAGCAGCTCTAGAACCATCTGGGCACAGGGCAGTGAGGAGAACCAAGTGACTGGCCCTTCCCGCTGGCCAGTGGGGCTGCAAGCCAAAAGCTTTCTTCAGGAATAGAAGGGGATTTGCCCAAAGACATTTGTGACTGTACAATTCGTAACTACAAAATGCTGGTGTGGGTCCACATGGCCCAGGTAGCAGTGACAACCTGTCACCCTGGAAAGTCCCAGAAGACCTCAACCAGAACAGGTGGATTATTTCACCTGTTAAATACCAATTATATTCACCTGATAAATACCAATCACTACAGTATAAAATAAACACATGGACTAAGTGGAAAGCAGAAAAGATAAAAATCATTCCAAATTCAGCAGCTGAAAATAACCCCCAAAGATACTTCAGTCCAGTGCAAACAAGAAGACAGAGGAGTGTGTGCGCCCATGTGTGGACAGCTTCGGGTCTGCACTGTCAACACCAGACATGGTGAAGTCCAAGCAGCAAGCAGGCCACAGACGGGGGAGTTAGCGCTGGGAATACTAGTGGATCGCCCTGCATCAAAACACACGGAGCAGACTGCCGAGCCAGCTCAGGGCAAGTGGAGAGGCCCCAGGAGTGATGGTGAGAATGCAACTCACTTGTCATTGCACAGGATATGGCAGATCTGGATTTGACCAACAAAATTGGGAGGAACTGATCCAGATGTGGAATGTGACAGAGAATCCCTTCCCACTGCCATGGAACATGTATAAAAAGAATCACAACCTTAATCAATGAAGAAAGGGAGCCATACATCCAGAACAGCAGAGATTGCATAGGCCACTTCCCCAGACCACCATTCTAACTAGGGCCAAATTATACATCAGGCACAAACATATAGGAAATAAGATAAGGTCTTTTCTTTTCTTTTTTTTTTTTTTTTGAGATGGAGTCTCGCTCTATCGCCCAGGCTGGAGTACGGTGGCCCAATCTCACTGCAACCTCCGCCTCCCGGGTTCAAGTGATTCTCCTGCCTCAGCCTCCTGAGTAGCTGAGACTATAGGCGCACACCACCACGCCCAGCTAATTTTTCTGTATTATTAGTAAAGACGGGGTTTCACTATGTTGGCCAGGCTGGTCTTGAAGTCCTGACCTTGTGATCTGCCTGCCTGGGCCTCCCAGTCTTCTCTGTTTTAAAAGTCCTGCTTCAGGGCTACCTTCCCCGAACACTGCTGCCTCCTTCCCAGCATTTGCCAGGAACTATCATTGCCTTAGTTTTTTTTTTTTTTTTTGGATACAGGGTTTTAGACTGTTGACCAGGCTGGAGTGCAGTGGTGCAATCAAAGCTTGCTGCAGCCTTGAACTCCTGGACTCAAGCAATCCTCTTACCTCAGTAACTAGGACTACAGGCACATGCCACCACACTTGGCCTTCTAATTTATTTCTGTGTCAACAAAATAAAACTCAGGCCTAGGAATAGCTTGATTCAGAAATCACAGAGGGACTTAATATTCCATTAGTACAAATGGAAAAATTAAGTTCATCATCAGATGACAAAAGGAAAAAAACCTGATACTCATCTCAAAAGATGAGAAAAGACATCTGAATAAATACACTATCTATTATTATTTCAAATTTTAAAACTTCTTTTTTGAGAGATAGGGAATCGCTATGTTGCCCAGGCTGATCTTGAACTCTTGGCCTCAAGTGATCCTCCTGCTTCAGCCTCCCACAGTGCTGGGATTACAGGCATGAGCCACCATACCCACCATAAATTAAAAGTTCCAAACAATATAGTAACAAATGGAAACCCTTTCCCACGATCCAGCACATCTCGCAGGGGCATCTGCTGGCATTACACACAAAGACACACTGGGGTTACGTCCATTCCACGTTTAAGAACTGAACTGCACCTTTTCCTCTGCCTCTAAACACAGTTCAAGCGATTCTCCTGTCTCAGCCTCCACAGTAGCTGGGATTACAGGTGCCCACCACCACACCCCAGCTAATTTTTGTATTTTTAGTAGAGATGGGGTTTCACCATGTTGGCCAGGCTGGTCTCGAACTCCTGACTTTAGGTAATCCACCCACCTTGGCCTCCCAAAGTGCTGGGATTACAGGAGTGAGCCATTGCACCTGGACTATTAAATTATTTAGTTTATAATTATCAAGTGGCATTCAAATCAATAGAGAAAGTAGAATGATTCAGTATATAGTGTTGGGAAAATCAGGTCACCATTTGAAACAGCTAAATTGGATTCATACACCATGCGCTCTAAACAAAGGTAACTTGTAGATGGATTAGCGTTTAATGTCAAAAACAAAACCATAAAGGAACCAGAAAAAATATAGTATAACACCAAAGTATGAAACCATAATAATAAAAATGGATAGATTTCATTACCAAATTTAAAACCATCACCAAGATCGAACACTTAAAAGGCAAACTACAAGCATGAACGATGTTTTGTAATATGTAAGGGTAAATGTCCTCAACAGTTGTCACAAAGCGGTGAAAATACAGGTGAGGCCCAAAGCAGATGCACAGATCAACTAACACACAAGTATTTATTCAACCTCACGGAGTCCAAAAGTGCAAATTAAAATACCAAGATACCATTTCTTGCCTTCAAATCAGCAAAGATAAAAACAAAGATGGTGCAGGCCAGGCTATGGGGACCCTCTGCTGGGAGCATGGGCTCTGCCTGCCTGCAAGGAGGGTGCTTGGCAACAGGAGTCAAACCGCTCACAGCCTCTGGGCCGGTCATTTCACTGCTAAGAAACTGCTATTAAGGAAATGATCAGATGTGTGCACAACAGTGTCTTAGGAAGCAGAAACTCACCCCACCCTATTTCAACAAAGTCCGAAAAAATTCTCATCAGAAAACAGAACAGTGTTTCATTTAAATATATATATATATATATTTAAAGCCCAGACACATCTTTCTGGAGTGGAGGCAGGCGGCCTCTGCCTTATTTGTGAAATAGGAAAGTAGCAGAAGTAAAGTCTTTACCATCTTGCTCCAGGCACCTTGGTTCCAGCTCTATTGTAGAACAAGGAGCCCAGTGAAAGCGGAGTGGACTGACCCTGGGGAAGCCGCAGTAGGTTCCTAAGCAGAACGGCAGTGCTGCTGAAGATGGTCAGTTAAGGCGGGGACAACCAGATCTGGCTCAGCAGCCTCCAAAAAACCCCTGTGCACCAGACAGGACAATGTGTTCATGATGGCGGCCTTGAGACTCTGAAGAAATGGCAAGTTCTGGTCTCTATAATCCCTCGTAAAGCAGGAAAGCATGCAGTACATTTTGTGAAAGGTTCCAGCAGGCTGTGGACAGCAGGAAAAGGCTGTTCAGGGGTTGGGCACAGGGGTCAGGTGCTGGCCACTGGAACAGGACTCCACTCAGACATTCCAGATACACAGAACTTCCCAGTGAGAAGAGCCAGCTACAAAGTGGCAGAGGCTCGGAAAGCAACCCCTCCCAGCCCACCCCCTGAACGTGACCTTGGGTGCAGGCTGGGTTTGTAGAAACTTACTGGCATTTTTAACAAGACTTTGTGTATAGGATCATCTCAACTGCAAAGACCACTGAACTGGACACTATCAGTATGACGGTAACTAGTGACCATTGGGCAGAGCAAAATATAAATAAAAGTACGCCGTGATGGGGGTAGGGTCCGCTGGGGGCAGTGAGGACACCTAGACGCCAAGGTAGACAGACCAAGACCAGCTTTCTGTGTAATGCAAAGTCAAATTAAACAGATGCGAGTAGATGGAAAGACGCACCTTATTCTCTCCTAAGACGACAATGGCATGAAGACGTCACGGGGGAGGTTAAGGTAAACATGCAGCCTGGAGAATTCTGGAAAAGTAGAATAATGAGGTAGGGCTTTCGTTTCGCTTTTTTAAAGTACAGATGACACTATGTAAAACCATTAGGAACTGGCACATGAATAAACAGATCAATAGTTAACAGCTGTGTTAGCCAGAAAACGGTGTAAGGGCAACAGGCTAACTAACCCTGTCATTCGTTGCACTAAAATTAAGTCCAGATAGAGCCCTCCAAAGTAAAAATAAAAAGACAGGAGAAAGCATGGGGTTTAACCAAAAGAAAAAAGAAAAAAAGCTTCAGCTGGATTAGCCTCTTTGAACTACTCATAAAATCCAGGAACCATAAAACAAAATTAGTGTGTGTGTGTGTGTGTATATATATATAAACTGAAGAGCAAAATATTATAATAAAACTTAAAAATCAGTGAAAAACAGGAATGTATTTACAAAGGGTTAATTTCCTTAATATGTATCAGTAAACATATAACCCAAAAGAAATACAAATCAAAACTACAATTAAATACTATTTTCCACTTCTCACATTGACAAATAACCAAGTTTGAGAGCATAGCCCAGGTGAAGGTGTGGGGAAATGTCAATGGGACCAAGCTCCCTACGGTGGAAGCTGGGGGTGTCCATCATATTCAGAAATTTCCACGTGCTGTGCCCAGACTTCCTCCTGAGAAAACTTTTCCCTCGCAGATATACTTGCCCATGTACATAAAAACACATGTACACAGATATGCGGTATAGCCTTATCTACAGTAAAAATTGCTGAAACAACTTAATGGTTCCCCAAAAAGGGAATGGGTAATTCAAACACAGCTACCACACAGATGTTGAAAAGACTGAGGCAGACGTGAATACAGATATACAGTGCTCACCTTGATGTACAGTAACTCAACAGTCCGAAGTGCAAGACAGGCTATGTGGTATACCTGTACAGCTTTATAAATACAGATTCTCCAGAAAGAAACTGCAGCAACTGGCCACAACAGCTGCCTCTGTGGGAAGGGAGGCTGGGGGTTAGAGAAAGATGCCACTGAATCACTCACAGAGTTTGAAGTTTGAACATGTGCAGCATGTATTGCTTTGAACAGTTTCACACATCTATTAATAGGTGAAGTGAAATGGAAGGAAACCAGCAGAGCATTTGCCTTTGGGGTCAGCACAGGAGCAGAGGATGAGGCAGGGCCTTGCTTTGACACACAGATGGTGGGTCACACAGTTGTCACACTGATGGAAGAGTAAGACGGACAGTGTACCAGTCACTCTAGTAGCTGAGGCCAGAGGAACTCAGGTATTGCCTTCTAGAAGTAGTAAGTCCAGCAGGGCAGATGCTGAGCCAGTGGTGGCTTGCTGTGCACAATGTTCAACTCCCTGTGCCCCTACCAGTGACCCTATGAGGTGAGTAAGAGCCAGGGCTGGGCTCACATCTGAGCTCCTGGCATGTGACAGCCCCTTAGAGGACAGAGAGCATGAACTTAGCCCCTGAAGCAGCCACGCTGTGCCCAGCAGAGGGCAGGTACAGACAGCATTCCTTCCTAGACCAGGTAACATTTCAACAAACTAAACAGACAAGTGAATAAGAGATCATTAAACACTGCTTTTTTACAAATGTCACAGCTGTGTTCCTAGAATAGTTTGGTTGTTTTTTTTTTTTGTTGTTGTTGTTGTTTATTGAACCTGCTTAGGGGAAAGAATACCAGGAATTAGACTCTGGGATCTGCAGGATCCATTACTGTTTTGTGCTTAGCCGGGCACCATATTATACTTGATTCTGGCATGGACACTAAGCAGTTTTATGTGAATTCCACGGCACCTGAGGAGAGCACCAGCATTACCGATTTTAGCAGCAGATGCTTTCAATCCATCTCACAAAACAGTGTCACTGACCAGGTGTGCCAAGAGCCACAGCAGGTGAAGACACCTACAGATGCTGCCTCCTCTGGGCACTGCCTCTGGGTGCCTCAGCTCTGCACCCAGAGGAATGCAAAAGAGATCCCTGCAGCACTCTGTGATGGCTAGAAAACTCTGCAAGTAACCTCAAACCCATCACTAGAAAAATGGTTAAAACGACCACACCAACATGCACAATATTACATGTTATAAAGCCATAAAAACAATAGTACATATTATATGATTCCATTTTAGGGCAGAGCATAATAGGATAAATTTTAGGATATCCACAGCCAGAAAATGTCTGAAGGAATATAAAGGAAGTTGTCATCAGTAGTTGTCTTAGGGATTGGGAATTATAGAGGAGCTTTTATCTTCTATATGGCCTTTTTCTATAGTGTTTGAGTTTTAATTACAAGACTAGTGATTTATAAATTCATACACTCCACAGCCCCAGTCATTATAAGAACACATAATATAGGAACACTAGCCATGGACTTACCTAAATCCGCATGATTTTGGTCCCCTCAGGACAGTGCTTGAATGCAGGGATAAGCAGACGACAAAGCCGCAGTGTGACCCGGTGCAGAGCACTGGGTTGGGCGTCCCCAGCAGTCACGTGACAAGAGCAATTTAAAAAATTATACCTTGACAAAATTATACTTGATTACATGTCTTGGACCCTGGGGGCCTTATTAGCATTAATCCCATGAATGCTAAATTCACACAGAGATGACTAGAATCTATCATACCATCTGAAGTTTTAGTGGGTCACTGCATACATGACAGATCAAAGAAAGCAACTAGCAGAAATTTTAGTGTCATATAGAGCGTCGTAGAGGATATGAACAACAGATACTCTCATACTCAGCTGTGCAAAGCTGGACAACTACTCTGGAGGGCAACAGGGCAGAACAGAGGAAAACGTCAGACCCACATCCTATGACCCAGCAATTTCGCTTCTTGGTACCTACCCTGAGAAACACTCATGCATTGTGCACAAGGGGCTGTGTATGACGATGATCACACAGTATTGTTTGTAATATCAAAAGATGAGAAATATTGTAAATTTCCATTAATGGCAGAATGGCTAAATAACTCACAGAGATACTGCACAGCAGTTGAAAACAGTGAGGAAAGTTCTGTGTGCACTCCCAGGCATCTCCTTACTGTTAAATGAAAAAAGTAATCAATAATGTACAGTATACAATAGTATTTTCCCACTTCTATGGAAAAGAAACACAATGCAACACTTTTTAAGATACAAATGTAAGTCTAGCAGGAAACCCAGCAAACTGGTAACACTGGTTACCTCTGGAGTATGGGGGATTGGTAGTGCCAACCTTGTCAGTCACCTTTCAACTCTGTGTAATGAGAAAACACCCACATATCACTTCTTCAACGACACTGACAGAAGTAAGAGAAGCAACCCTGTCACGATGGATGGGAAAATTGATGAACTAACTGAGGTACAGTTACATGATGGGCTCTATCCAGTAAATAAACCAAATGAAATACCCCATGGGCAAGGGATAAATCTTACCATATTAAATGAGAATGTTTATATCTCATTTAATAAGATTAACATAATCTTAAATAACATAAGATTACATCCAAAATAACTTTTCTATAAGCTAAGAACAACTAAAATATAAATATATAATTTGAAAAACATATTTAGATCAGATTCTTTTACAAAGTTATGGGAAAAGAAAGTAAGTGGGAGATAAACCCAGGATTCAGGATGATTATTACCATGGCCTGGGGGGTGGCAGGGATGGCAGGGGAAGTCGGGTGGGGTGGGACCACATAAGCGGAAGGGGTTACTGTCTGTATTGTCCTAGTTTTTATATTAGATAGGAGATTTGGAAATGCTTACCACATTATTAAAAAACAATCAAGGAAAGAAAATTAAAGAGAGCCATGTTATATTCTGAACCAAAAGATTTACCCAGTTCTGTGTATTTGAGTTCTAATAAAGAGAGAGAATATTCTTCCCTTAGAGGAGTATTTTAGCTTTCATTTACTAGATTTTAAAACATAATGAAAAGTGACGATCATTAAATTCCACTGCATTTTATTAACAATAACAATGAAAACTAGAGCCTACAATTTCCAGAAATAGATCCAGACAGAAAATTATAAGAACCATTTGATCTAGCAACCTCATTTCTGAGTATCAACCCAACGGAAAAGAAGTCATTATACCAAAAAGACACTTGATGGCAGCACAATTCACAACTGCAAAGATAAGGAACCAACCCATCAACCAGTGAGTAGATAAATAAAATGTGGTATATCTACACCATGGAATATGACTTAGCTATAAAAAAGAACAAAATAATGGGTTTTTTTTTTTTTTTTGCAATAGTTTGGATGGAGCTGGGAGCTATTATTGTAAGTGAAGTAACTCAGGAATGGAAAACCAAATACTGCATGTTCTCTCTTATAAATGAGAGCTAACTTATGGGTACAAAAAGGTATACAGAGTGACATAATGGACACTAGAGACTCAAAGTAAGGCAGATAAGGGGGGCGAGGGATAAACACCCACATATTGGGTACAATGTACACTACTCAGGTGACCGGTGCAGTAAAATCTCAGACTTCACTACTATAGAATTCATCTATATGACCAAAAGCCACTTGTACCTCAAAAGCTATTGAAATTAATACACACACACACACACACACACACACACACACACACACACGCAGAAAAAAAGAAAATTATAAGAAGTTAATAATGACAGACCTGGAGCAAAAAAACAAAGACAGTATTTAGTAATTAAAACTTTGCTATTTCAACTTCATCAGTGTAAATCATTAATTTAAATGTAGAGGAGTGTTCATTGTCACCAGAGGAGTACATACATGTTTAGCTACTAAAGAAAAAGTAATACGCAGCAAATTCAACGGACTTATCAGTTATTATTATTAGGCTTATCAAAGGCTTATCAGACTGATTTTTGAAGTCCTGGTAAAATAGATGCTTTTTGCATCAATAATAACAGGAAAAATGGAGGATAGGGTTGACAATCATAAGCAGCGAATGTGGCTTTCCCAATGATACTAAGAGTTCATGATCATATAAAGGTCAGTATGAGAATTTCACATGCTCAGTGGTCAAAGAGGAAAAATGCAGATGAAAACTGTGGTAAAACAGAAAAGTATGAAAACCATTCAATCCAGCAATGCCACTACTGGGTATCTACTCAAAGGAGAATAAGTCATACCAAAAAGACACCTGATCACGGATAATTCAGAATTGCAAAGATATGGAACCAACCTATGTGCCCATTAACGGATGAGTGGATAAAGAGATGAGCACAGAAATATACAGACTAAAACAACTAAAATACCTTATAACGTTGGATTTGGCAAGGATTTCTTGGATATGACACCAAAAGTACAAACAGAATTAAAAAGACAGAAATTAGACTATTTCAAATTTTAAAACTTCTGTACATCAAAGAACACAATCAACAAAGTGAAAAAGCAACCTTATGGAATAAGAGAACATATTTGCAAATCATATATCTGATAGGGGGTTAATATCCGGAATATAGAAACTCCTACAAGTCAACAACAATAACCTTAATAACCCAATTTTTAAAATAGTCAAAGGACTTGAATAGACATTTTTCTAAAGAAGACATACAAATGAGCAATAAGTATATGAAAAGACGCTTAGTATCACTAATCATTAGTATCACTAATCATTAGGAAAATGCAAATCAAAATGACAATGAAATATCACCTCACACCCACAGGGTGGCTTCGATATAAAAAAGCTGAAAATAACAACCACTGCAGAGGATGTGGGAAACTTGGAACCCCTGTGCACTACTGGTGAGAGTGTAAAATAGGGCAGTTGCTATGGAAAACATAGAGTGGTTCCTCAAAAAAATTAAAATAGAAATACCACTTCTGGCTACATACCCAAAAGAACTGAAGATAGGATCTCAAAAAGATGTGTGTACATTACAGCATCATACTTGTAAATACAACAATAAAGATATTTGTACGTAACACTATTGTTCACAAAAGCTGAAAGCAACCCGTCCACTAATGGGTGAATGGATCAACAAAATAAGATATAAAATAGATTATTCAGCTCTTTTAAAAAGGAAGGAGGTTCTGACACGTGCTACAACATAGACGCATCTGGAGGACACTGTGCTAAATGTAATAAGCCAGTCACAAACAGACAAATACTTCATGATTTCTCTGATATGAAGTGCATAGAGTAGTCAAACTCACAGAAACAGAAAGTAGAAAGAATGGTGGTTGCCGGGGCTGGAGGGAATGGATTGTTTAATATTATTTAATAGGTACAGAGTTTTGGTTTTGTTGGAGGAAATGCAGTGTTTAAGGTTATTTAATGGGTACAGAGTTTCAATTTCGCAAGATGAAAATGTTCTGGATTGGCTGTACAACAGTGGAAACATACTTACCACTACTGAATGCATACTTAAAAATGATTAAGATAGTAAACTTCTATTATATGTATTTCACCACAAAAAATTTTACAAGTAGCAACAAATAAATAAAATTGTAAAAATCTGATGTTAGTAGCTTTGTAGGGAAATGGATGTAATATACTCACAACAGGAAGTGTAGCTTTCTGGAGTCACGAGTCTGTGAAGACGGTTATAAAACCGTAAGTCCTCACTGCCCAGGCAGTGCCACTCCGGGAGATACACATGTACACTAAAGTTACAGAGATGCTCACAGCTGCACAATTTAAATAGTCAAAACAGTTTAACAACTAAAGAGATGGGATAAATATCCTGTAGTATAAGCACATTAGCATAAAATCATGCAATCATTCCATTCATGATCTTTTTTGAGGTCATGAACAAGCAGATGAAAGTTATGCTTTCCACAGAAAAATACACACAATTTCAGAGCATTCATAGACTTCTAGGAACCCATCCATGGGAATTCCTTTGGGAAGGTTAAGAATCCTGAGAAACAGCCTCTTCAAATGTGTTTGTGAACTATACCGGTACAGGGAAATTTAGTGGAAACAAAATTAAGTGTAGAAACAGACCAGACCAGGATATACACTCTGATTCCCATTGCATGAAACGTCCAGTGCCAGGCGGGCAGCCAGCCGGCCACAGAACAGGGAGAGGGTCCCAGGAAAAAGTGGTTAGACCTGGGCCCCAGAGGAGGTGGAGAAGGAGGGCAGAGGCAGGAGAGTTCACTATAAGAGCTCAACAAGGAGTAGCTGCTGCCAAACATCTATATTCATTAACCCACATTTCACAGACAGTCTCCGGCAGGTTAAGTAACTTGCTCCCAGTCATAAAGTTGCCAAGAGGATTAGAACCAGCTCCAGTGACCTATTAGGTACAAACCTACTCAGATGGGGAAACCGAGAGTCAGGGACCAGCAACAACCAGGGGCCCATTCAGGAAACACCAGCCTGGCCCCAAGGTCTTCTGCAGTGAACCCTCTCACTGTGACAGCAACCCTCCCAGGACAGGGTTCTTTGGCCTTAGGAGGTGGGCTCTGAGAGCACCACGCCCCTCCTCACACACACACACACACACACACACAGACTCCACAACACACTCCAGGTGGAATAAGGTTTAAATGTAAAAAAATGATACCATGCAAGTTTCACAAGAAAGTATGGATTAATATTTATGTACTCTTGGGGTAGAAAAGATCTACATATAACAAGTTCAGAAACCACAGTAATAAACTAACCTTGGAAAATCATGTAACTTCTATCTATCTGAAACAAAATTAAAAGGCAATCTATAAACTGGAAAAGAAATATTGCATCAACTATGACAAAAGGTTATTAATATCCTTAATATGTAAATAGTTTTTACACAACAACCATTAGAAAAATACCTAATTACGCGGCCGGGCGTGGTGGCTCACGCCTGTAATCCAAGCCCTTTGGAGGCCAAGGCGGGCGGATCACCTGAGGTCGGGAGTTCAAGACCAGCCTTATCAACATGGTGAAACCCCATCTTAAAAAACAAGACAAAACAAAAAACAAAAAAAAAGAAAAATGCCTAATTAGGAAGTACAAAGTCATGCACACACACCCCCTACAAACGGCCAATCAACATACAGTAGAGATGTTCAATCCCCAGCAGACAAAGCAATGCTCACACCCACAGGGGAAGCAGACTGGATCCATTGGGGGAGCAAAGGTTTTTAATGTGGCAAAACAGGTTCTGAGGAAGAGGGGAAGGCGTCAGGTTTGCCTCACTAGTCAGAACACTAATTGAGCAATTTCTCCCTGGTGGGCAGTTTAGCCCGAGTTTCACAGAGTCATTTCCTTCTCGAAATGTATTCATGCATTCCCAAAGAGAAAACAAGAGACAAAAGTCTGAGCTACAAAGAAAGTCATTGCAAGTATTATTTTCTAAGAGAAAAAAAAACCTAGAAATACCCTACATGTCCATTGAAATAAGTGTTTACACTGATATAGCCAATCGAGGAAACACTGTTATCATTTAAAAAGGTGTTCACTATATATTAAGTAGTCACAATACAGAATTTATGGCATCATCTCATTTTTGTATAAAAAAGCACTTATCCCACGCATATAAAAGAAATCCTCCAAAAGCAAACATGCCCATAACAATTGTTAATGGTAAGATTATTGAGGATTTTGAAAAAAAAATTCCTTATTTGTAAACTTTAAACTTTTCTTTTACATATTAGAACTCGATGAAGAATTATTTAAAAGAGAGGAAAGGCAGTGCATGGCTGTGGGTCCAGGAGGGTGGCGGCAGGCTGTCCTAACCAGCAGGCTGGCAGGGGGTGGAGGGGATGCCCTCACTCAGAGGAAGATCACGGCCACCTGCCTTGGAACACGTACCTGCTCATCTTTTCGTAAGTTTAGTTCTTCTTTTGCTATCTTCCTGTTACGATTTCCAGATAGTATCAGTATATCTTTGTTTGTTAGATAGGAATATTGAAAACGTATCATAAACATCCGTAAGCCTATTTGGGCATGTCTTCATTTCATACCAGCACTGCACCATGAGTACCTTTGCACACAACGCCAGAGGATAACACTTCCTCCAGAGACTTCACTGCACAGAGAGGTTAGCCTGGCATTAAGGGTCCTTGGAATCCCTTAACAGTCACAGGCAATAAGATGCACCAAGGGCAGCTGAATCAATCTCCTTTTTGTAACACAGGCCGTTCCTGCAGTTCTGTGTCACCAACCCTGGCATACTGAGGAACGTAAACCAATACTGGCTCTCAGGGTACTTTCCTTTTTAAAAGAAGTTCAAGTTCAACTTTTGCTTTTCTTATACCCCATAACTTTTATTTTGCAAAGCTCAGCCATGCCCACTCACTGAGTTCCATGATATTACCCACACCTCTGGAAATTCACAGAAAGTCTGAATTCAGATCCATGCATAAGGATGCAAACTGATGAGTGATAGTTGCTGGCACTGCCATCAACACCTCCTGTCCATCTCAACTGATTTGAGGATAACTGAAGGCAAAGACTGTGGCCCAGCCCCTGGATTGGGGTGGAGGCAAGGAGGGTGGCGAGCTGAGCCTTCAGCAGTTGGCCTCACCTCTCTGCTCCTGATCAAGTGCCACTTCATACCCACTTCCAATCCCCAACATTTATACCCCATGAGTCAATTCTTCTTCAGCATGCCACAGTTGCTGGAGATAGCACCATTTACACAGAGGCATCCATAGCAGTTACTTTCCAGGGTGGAAGCAAGAGTTTTGTAATAATCATAAAAAACAAGAGAAGAAACAAGGGCTCTGAAAAGAAGAAAAGGTGGTTATAGAGGTGCTGGGGTAAAAAGCAAAGCAAAGGGGTAAGACAGGAAAGGGGGCCTGGATTATTTCTGGAGCATCCAGGAAGAGGGCAAGCAGGAAGAGGGCCCTGGAGCCTGTACACAGCAGAGCCCTATCTTGGCGGTGCCATGAGCACAGATAGGTTTGCTGGGTGGGCAGCTCAGTGACTTCCTCTTCCCACTACCCAGCCCGTTTGTCAGTAGTGTACATGTGGAGGGGTCACCAAGATACAACAGCACAGGCAAATAAGACACAGCTGTAAAGACGGCAACCAGTCCCGCAGCTCATGGTAAGAAAAGAATCCTTCCGGTCATGATCTCCCACCATTTGTGCTGGTCCCCTGGCTAGTCCCAGTTGAGCCCTTATCTCCCCTTCTTAGGCCAACAGGTCCAGGTTGAGTAGGACAAGCCTCCCTTGAGGCTCCCTTTGAATCAAGCACCTTCCTCCTCAGCACATTTCAAACAAACGATTACCAAGTCCCAACAGAGAGCAGATTCCTCTCAGTCACTCACCAAAAGGAAAAAACAAGTCGCATTCTTTAGTGAGATAAGAATTACGCATATACTTAGACCCAAATCCCAGATACATTCCAGCCTTCCAAAGACTCATACTATGTAATACACATATTATATAGCCATTCTATTTTATTCAGACTTTTCCCTAACCAAATAAAAATAAGTACCACTTAGAACTCTAAGCAAGTAATGTTTTAAAATATTATGGCAAAGCACTCCCCACCTACACACTCACCTTCATTGGCTCGAATGGTTCATCACATTTCAAACAAATGATTACCAAGTCCCAACATAGAGCAGATCCCTCCCCACCCACCCAGCAGTCTGCAGACCACTTGGGATAATACCAGTTCTATTTTGGTTATCATGCTCTCCTATACGGCCTTACTTACTTGAAGCTGGCAAATCTAGACCTAAATCTACAACATGAAAATAAATCCAACTTCATTATGAAGGCAATGTGATAGGGGTCGAGAAATATAACATAGCAATACAACAATTCTAATGAGTTTAGAACTTGAACCTTTATTTGTGCTGTAAAGGGGAAGGAAAGTGATTAGGAATTACGTACATGATGCAACAGGATTAGTTCTTACCATACAGAGCAACAAACCCGTACTTTTAACCACCCACTTCTACAGTTTTAATTTCGCAACAGCATGCCCGAAAATATTTCCCCATACATGCATGACTAATAACACTCTAAATTCCAACGACAGTAATTGTATCATGTCCAAGCCACTGGTTAAGAACTGAACTACCGTGTCAACATATTTTTAAACACTGAAAAAATGGAACCCAGAAGACAGATCCCAAGGATAAAAATATCCATGATTTAAAAAAATTTAAGTGAAATTTAAAGGGAAGAGGGACATGGTAACAAGCCATTGGTATTACTTTATCAGTTTGGATGCAGCTCAGAAACAAGTAGAGTTTTCAGATCACACATGTAGTAGAGGCACTTCACCCACGCCCTCCCCACAATCCTCATCCCCTTCCCCTTTTAGCTCGTTTTCCAAACCGTTAGGTGATGACAGTTTAGTTTCCCCTCTAGTCTTGGATCACGGATCACGGAAAAGCACAAACATTCAAACTAAAAATACAATATTCATTTTAACCTTAGCAAAGGTACATGGATTCTATCTGCTACCAAATATTATAGTAATTTTACAGTGATGACAAAAGGGTATTTGGTTCGTTACAAAGACTAGATTCGAAGATACTAGGTAAGCAAAAATTTTGCCATGATTAATATTTACCAAACACAGAAAAGACAATTATGTGTTTCTACGGCAGGATTTACATAAGAAATCCCTTGAAATTCACTGCACTTTCACTGTGCTCATAATTTTCAATCACAAGCTATCTGTGACAAATGAGTTACAAATTCAGAGGAGCCTATCTCAACTCGTCTTAAGTCGTCCCTTAAATACGTTAAAAGCCCACAATGTAGGCATTTACAATTTCTAAGACTTCCAGCTCCTGTGAAAAATCCCATCTTCACAGCTTCAGATAGATCACCTATGAAGCTGGCAAGAGGCAGCGAGGGATGCTGCGTATGCAAGTCTGACAAGTGACTGATTCACTTGAAAATACCCACACCCTAAACAAAACCACCCTCTAAAACAGGCTGCCTTGGCCACCAGGAAGAAGTTGGTAAAGACGTTTACCCTGCCTGTGAGATGGCATCACACACCCCTCCCTGTGGTTCTCGGAAAACTGGTGACTCTGTGTCATCATCTATTTTCAGTTACACTTTTTCAGTCTTCCCCACCTTGCAGCAAAGCAAAACAATTTTGTTTTGGTTTTTTTGTACTTAAAGTTCTAAGCACTTTGGAAAGTTTCTAAGCAACTTTTCATTTCCAAGCAACAATTTAACCAACATTAACAACTTACTATTATTAATTAGTGTTTTCTTGGCTCACCCATTGCACTAAATTCACCAGAGCCCCAGAGTTCCCTTAAACCTGCATTTCCTACCACTCCCAACACCCACACTAGATACCTAACCAACCCTCTCCCCTTCTTCACCCCATCCCTCCCAGTACCAACGCCAAGCTGCATTCCCCCAAACTGCAACTCCCACGTGACCAGTGCCAAGCTGTTTTCCTCCGCCCATCCCCCACAACTCCCACCTCAGGGTCCTCTTATTAGAATGCCAAAAAAGTATTATGAAATCTAACAAAATTCAAGTTTAAAAAAAACGAAACAAGATCGAAAGGGCACTACCGGCATACCCACCATTCCCTTCTCTTAGTAACCTGCAATGAAATCACAATGCCCAAACTAGACCTGCCATTTCCCACACACAGATTTCAGAATGACCAACGTGTACCCTCCCAGAGTTTAGCACCACACAATGACACCCTTCATTTGACAATCTGCTTCCTCTAATATATCCCCCGTCTAAGGCATTTAAAATTAAACAGCTTTCCAACACCCCAAGTTATTTCATCAGGCTCAGAACTTCTCCGAGCAATGCACAGGCAGGCAGGCAAACAGGTGGGTAGGCGAGAGGTCATGGGGCTCCTTCTGCAAACTCCTTCTATAAGGCATCAATCTGCGTTGTGGCATCAACGTTAAAATGTTCTACAGCTTAGGAATCTTCTTGAAGCAAGGTTCCAAGCACAGAACGAGTATGACTGGAGGCTCAATTTAGAAGATGCAGCATCTGAAAACCTTTACCCCAGGGAAGGAGGGGTGCCTGCTGGCATTCATGGCTCCGGAACAAGCATTTATTCAAAGCTGATGGCACCTCAAGCCGGATGCATCTGCTGTGGACTTTTAAGATTGCCCCCCACAAGCTTATCTGAAAACCTTAAATGGTAGCCTCCTGAATACAGGGCTTCCTGAGAAAGGCCTGGAAACATGACATTGGAGAACTTCCTCCTCCTAAGCCTCTGGAAATTCAATCTGCAGGCATCAATTGAGGCGGGCTCTTTCCTCCAGGGTCTCCCCTCCTGCACTGCTAGGACTCATAATGGCCAGGGGCTCCATGTCTCCCGGTTCCATCTGCTCGCCATGAGGAACACTACAGTAACAAACCGCGGTCCATGAGGCATTTTTGTAACTTTCAGCTGGATCGCTGCGGGCCCACCCAAAGGGGCACATTCACTCCCCACCCTCTCTGCAGGCAAGCAACATCGATCCGCCCCACCCCACCTCAGCGGGAAGGCCTTTCTTTCTCCACCAACAATACCGACTCCAACAGCCACTCGGCTACTATACCAGGCTTACCAGACGACCAGGCAATGTTTTAAGTGAATGGATAAGTTAAAGGGAGGAGGAGGAGGGGTGGAGTGAGCTCACAGAAGAGTTTAGCGCCAAACCTACAGAGAAGTCCAAAAGGAGCACTGCCACCTGGAAAATAAAGCGTTGGTCAATGTTGCCCCCAACACCCGAGCAGCGTGCCTCGCAGTCCCCGCCTGTCAAACATGCCAGGTGCCGGTGAGGATGGCGCCTTGGCCCCGCATCACTCCTCAGACCACCCCTCACCTCCGCCCAGGGGCCTGGCTTCGCATCCAGACCTGGACGCTCCACTAGTCTGGGCCCAGCCTGGACCCGTCCCAGGCTGAGCCAAAATTACATACCACCCTGGGCCAGAGTGGTCAGCCCCGGCGAGCTAAGTTCAGTTCCACAAGACCAGGCCTCATCCCCAGGCGGGTTCACAGCCCTTTGTCTGAAAAAAAAAGGGCTGCTGGCATGGACAAGTTGAAGCTCGGCCCTCCCGGCCCTCCTGCAGCCCTGCAACCACTGCCCGCCTTCCTGATCATCTCCAGGGCCGCAGCGGCCCATTCCTCCTGGCCTCTCGCCCTGCCTTCCTCCCTCCACAGACGAGGGCACTGAGGCTTGCTCAGCCATGCAAGAGCGGCGCCTTCTCAGACGTCAAGTTCCCCCTCCAGCAGGCAGTAGTGGCAGCCTGGCCTGGAGCCTGGCCCTCCCTGTGGGCTCCTGCGCGTATTTTGAACGCAGCCTGCCGCACTGTGGTCCCCCCAGACCTAGTCTCCGTCTCTTTGCCAACTTTCCTTCTCCTTGCACCCCCAAACCCCGAGTCTCATCTAACTCAGTCATCTCTCCCCAACTCTCCTGAGGCCCTGAACTGCCCACTTCCTCCCCCACAACTACACCCATGAGCGCATCACTCCCTGTCACTAACTCCTGCTGGACTGGCCACAACTTTTGCTTTTATAGCCCTCTGCCGTATCACCGGGGTCACTGCTCAACGGGACGATTCCTCCACGGACGCCGGAAAAAAAGTCCCTCCCCGACCCTGCCGGGGGAGACGACCCGGGCAGTGCACGGTCTCCCATGAGCGTCCCCCCCACGCAGGGACACCAGTTTATCCCCGCTTCTCCTTAGCAGTGCTTCTTGGGATTGAGGACAGCGCTCAAGGTGACAATTGGGAGGTGGACGCCATGAGAAAGAAGACGCCTTTTCTTCGCAGGTGTTGTCGGGTCGGGCAGGGGGCGCGCTTTCCCGAGAGAGGGACTGGAGCGAGGTGGCGGTGGGGGTGGGGGATCCTGAGTGGGGGCTCCTGAGTGGGCGACTAGAGCTGCCAGGGTCGCCTCAGGTCACCCCAACCCCGCCGAGGCTCGAAAGAAGGACCGGCAGGACATCTGGAAAATTCCAGGCGGCGGCGGAGGGATCTCTGCAGAGGGCGCGTCCCCCCCGGGAGGTGCGCGTGACTCTCGGGCGGCGGCTAAGCGTGTGGCTTGGCTGGTGACGTCAGCGCTCCGGTGCGGAGTGGGGGCGGGGCGGCCCAGAAGGTTATCGCGGCCCGGGGAGGGGTCGCGGAACGCTCCCAACGCGAACAGGCGGTTTTTCTGGTCAGGAAACCTTGCCTCGGACTGATAGCGTCTGGGAGCCAGTGGGTGACAACATGAGCCCCGGGGAGCCGCCTGGGCGCTTCGGGGGCAGGTGTCGTTGTTGTGACTGTTCCCAGGGGCCTGGCGAGGGGACGTGGTTCCCGAGAACGTTCAAGAAGTGCGTTCAGGATGGATTAAGTGGGAAAAGGCCGTTGCAAAATAATGGAAAATCAAGACTTTGTGCTGAAAGCAGTTATCTGTCATCAACGACAGACAGGCTGTGGGGGCGGGGAGAAAGAGGATTTTTATTTATTATTTATTGTTGCCGCATTTGTAAGCAGGCCCCCAGCCTGCCTCTTCTGGAAGCAAACCTGGTGAACTCCTGAGCCCTCCACCAAGGCGGGCAGGGTCTGCGTGTCTGGAGAGGACTTTGGACCGTGTAGCGGGCACGGCCCTTGCTAGAGGGTACAGTGCGATGAATCCCTGGCCCCTGCGGCAGAGGGTAGAAAAAGGACCCCGTACCTATTAACCAGAACAGAATATGGCATCTGACAGGAACTGCTGCCAGGAACCTCTCCCTGGTTGACACCCACACCCCAAGCAAAACAAAACAAAATAAAAACAGGCTCCCCTGGCAACGGGGAGACATTTCGCCTGCATCGGTGAGGTGGCATCAGCAGGCAGGGCTGGGCCCGACATGCACCCCTCCCTGTGCTTCTCGGAAAACTGGTGACTGTGCCATTCGACCTTCAGTACGGAAAGTGTGATGTGGCAAACCCAGGCTTGCTCCCTGGAGGCTGCTCAGCCCGATCTCCGCCAGCAGAAGATTCTGCCAGTGCGGCCTTCTCTAGGATCTGCCTCATCGGCCTCGTCCTGACCACATCTCCAGGGGTGGGTTGGGGTGGGTGATTGGCTGGAAAGAACCGTGTGGAAAGAGTGAATCGTCTGTCAGAATGTTCTAGAAAGCGGGGCAGCTCATGAAGCCTATGGAGTGACTCCTCCCTGCTGATTTGCAGTACTGGGCCATGGAGTTCTTTATCTCACCAGGCAACTGAGAGGTGGATCTTCCCCACTGTTCCTGCGGAGTTTATGTCTTAATTTGCTTTTCTCTATTTCTGGTCTGAAAATCTCTTAATTCACACACATCATTCCCAAATCCCAGAAACAAGCTATGGTTGATTTTATTTTTCAAAAAAGTAGGATCCAATCACTTTTGAAGGTCAAAGTGCAAGGATTGCCTAGAGGCCAAGAGTTTGGGACCAGCCTGGTAAACACAGCGAGACCCTGTCTCTACAAAAAATGGAAAAAAAAAAAAAAAAAAAAGCCAGGTACACATGCCTGCCTGTAGTCCCAGCTACTGGGGAGACTGAGGCATCAGGATTTCTTGAGCCTAAGAGTTTGAGGCTGCAGTGAGCTATGATTGTGCCACCGTCCTCCAGGCTGGCCAACAGAGTGAGACGCCTTCTAAAAATATATGTGTATATATACACATGTAATCCCAGGACTTTGGGAGGCTGAGGGGAGGGGGAATCACCTGAGGTCAGGAGTTTGAGACCAGCCTGGCCAACCTGTCCAAACCCTGTCTCTACTGAAAGTATAAAAATTAGCTGGGCAGGGTGGTAGGCGCCTGTAATCCCAGCTACTCAGGAGGCTGAGCAGAGGATTGCTTGAACCCAGGAGGCGGAGGTTGCGGTGAGCCGAGATCGAGCCATTGCCCTCCAGCCTGGGCAACAAGAGCAAGACTCCCTCTCA